AGGGGACTGGACTAGATGACCTCTCAAAGTCCTTTCCAGTTCTATGATTCTATGATCATTCCACATGCAGAACAAAATAATTAGAAAAGGGAGAATTCTTTGTGGCTGGGAGAGTTTGACAGTACCCATCCTGAGGCCTGGCACTTTAATACTAATGCTTTGCTGGAGCAGGAATCTATCTTCTTAGCATTGTCACCTGTTGGCTGGAAGCAGACATGACACACCAGACAATGCTTCTCTCCATTTCTCTTCAGCCACGTTCCCCTTTCTAACTCCTCTCCTGAGCATTTTCTTCTTTTCTCCGTTCTCCACCTCCTATTGATTGTTGTCTCTCTGTGCTCGCGCCATCTCTCCCCTTAGCCACACTCTTATAGCCTTTCAGAGTTAGTATCTGCAAAAAGAAAAGGAGGACTTGTGGCACCTTAGATGAAGTGAGCTGTTGCTCACAAAAGCTTATGCTCAAATAAATTTGTTAGTCTCTAAGGTGCCACAAGTACTCCTTCTCTTATAGCCTTGTTCGCAGGTTCTCCAGCGGGCACTCCATTACTCTCTGGACTCTCTGCCAAGGAAGTGGTCTCTCCTGGAGTGGGATATATTCAAGACTCACACTGGGCTGCTAGGAGCAGGTGTGGTGCTGCCTGTTTCTTGCCCTCAGTCCTCCCACCTGCCTTTTGACTTGGACTTTTACATTCTATCTAGGACAATCTCACAGTGGAGCAGGTATGTCTTTAGTGCCTGCCCTCCTTGATCCCAACTCCTCGCTCTCTTTCCTGCTTGATATGTTGGTGTATGTAAGGCTGCACCCTTTGTAGCTCCCCCCCATCCCTTCCCTTGCCCTGGTTCTCACTTTGTGCCCTTATTAGTCGCTTTTCTCTTCCTCCTGCTTCAAAGGCCTCATGGGTGCCCTCCGGCTCAGCAGCTCTTTCCTGACAGTCTGTAAATGTCATTGCTTGGCAGTCTGTCCTCCACCTGGGCTCATCTTGCTGATAAAGTTACAGAGCAACCTTTACCAGTCCTCATGCCTTCAGACAGTAACTTTGTCTTTAAAACTTTGTTAGTTTTCCAAAACTTTATATATTTAGCATTCAACAACAAAGGTGAACAAAATAACATCTTCAAATGAGGTGGCACCAATGCCTTAAGGGCCAGTGTTTTGTGACTGGTGAGACCACTGCAAATGAGGATCATTACACTTTTCTAAGAACTCATCCCAGACCAGTGATCAGACAGAAGATGGCTGGCTCCCAGAAGCACCACCCTGCCACTAGTTGGCAGCATCCAGCAGTTACAATCTACTACCACTCTGCCCCCAGCTCTGTGGGAGATCAGCACTTAAGATGTCTATCTGTCTTTGTTGTGCTGGGAGGGGTGTCTACTGTGGCGTGGTTTTGATCCATTATTGCCAACTTTTACGATCTTATCACAAGTCTCACAATATTTGGTGTGTTTATTAAACTCCCAGCTCCCGCAAGCAAACAATTACACGAGAATCTCCAGCTTTCGTTTTTAAAAAAGTCCATTTCTGACCCTCATGGTTGCAAAGAAAAGCTGAAAAATGTGAACCAAGTAGGACCTAGAGCCTCAGAAACCAGAAGACAAAGAAAAACAGCCCCCAATTTATTATTTAAAATAAAATGATTTTAAGCTTTTTGTTTTTTTGGAGCCTGACTTATGATTTGTGCCCGGGTAGGATTGGCAATACAATGATCATAGCCCCCTGGCCGGTGACCCAATCAGTTCACCACAGAATGCAGAACAAGTGCAGTATTGTTCTAGGTGGAGTTGATAGTGCCCCCGTAGTCAAAGTTGCCCGACAATTCCATAAGGGCTTGTGTTCAGTTGCTTATAATTTTGCCAAACTTTCACCTTTCAAACTTAAGTTTTTCATGCTGGGTGTGTGCTGCAGGCTGAATGTTTTTGGAAAGTTTCAGCTAAAATGGTTCCGTCATTGATGAGAACGAGATTAGGAAAAAATAGGATTAAAAAATTCTTATGGGGGGTTGGAAAGCTCTATCGCCTCCAGGCTTTGGAGCAAGCACTTAACATGGGGGGGGCCACAAATGAAAAAAAGGTTGAAAACCACTGGTTTACTAGCTAAGTTATATTGTTATGTACCTCTGGGAAGATATTTCAAGGAAACATGCCAAACATGACCACGGATATAAATACTGTAGCCTGCTCATCACTTGCAGAGCAGTAGGGAGGAAGGTATTTTATTATCCAATTTGACAAATTGGAGGGAATTCAAAGCAAAGGGGAGGAGAGTGGGGAAGAAGAGCAGAGGGCTGAGTTGATTAAAAGAAGGAAATGGGTGTAGCTTGTCTAAGTAAGATTCTCTCTCCCTACCTTAGCTCTGCCCTGGTGGTATACAGGGGCTGTTAACAGCATCTCAAGGGGGTTGGGGGAGAATGCCCTTGGCACATACACTGCGTGTCACAGTTTCAGGGTAACTGGGCCTGTATTGTCCCCCTCATGGTCCACTCCAGGAGTTCCCAGTCAGGTCTCAGATCTCCAGCCATCACCTGTCTTTGGTCAGGGATTCTGGTCCCACTCCCTTCTGACCAGGGGTTTTAAGGCTGCAGAGTCCCCAGCCTTTGCAGTGATACCCCCCAACAAGCCGGTCTGCTTGTGCTTTGCTTCCTCTCTGAGGGCTACAAGCAGTGTATTGCCAGCAATTACAAGTTACCATCCTGCTCTTTCTAAGGAAGCACCTTTATTCTCAAGGTAAAATCATCACAGCGAAAACAAAAAAACCCAATAAATGTTCCTATAGACATGCTAACAGCTCACCAGAAGTCACCCATCAGTCTTCTGGTGCCCTGTCCTGTCTGTTTGCTGGTCAGACAGAAGGCCCTGAGTCAGTTTAAACACAGCCTTTTTACGCCAAAAGTCCTTTCTTTGCATGTTGGTCTCTGTAAAATCCAGTTTGAAACAGCACATATCACCTCTTCAGGAGATGGTACCTCTCGGGAGGTGTTTACAACCTGAGCAATTCATCTTAATCACCCCCCATTGTTCTTAGTTCCTGGCAGAGCTAAAAGAAACCCCCCCCACACCAGAGTTGCATACAATTCCTGGCCCACAATGGTACATAAACCCTTCATACACGTAATACAATATGGTCCCCAAATATATTGCTTGTGGTGGCCATGTCTGTCACACTGTTGGGCCAACACAAGCAACCCTTCACCCTACACGAGAACCTGGGAATGGGGGGCATGCTGGGAATGGGGCTACAGCACATGTTGGTATGACCATTGTGCCTTGTGGGAGGCTGGTCTGGTATAACGTAGAGATGGCCCCTGGACTGCCTAAATTACGTTGGGCGTTGCTTTGACCCCTGTAGCAACTCAGAGGTGGAATAGTGCAAAGATGTTTTTAAGCTTCCTTTGACCCAACTTCCCCCTGGACTGTGCTGGTCCTAAGAGAAGACAAATTAATAGTCTACAGATATTTGAATTGGGTAAAAAAAAAATAACCCCAAAGATGGAGAGGAATTCTTTAAGGTGGTAAAAGAATTGGGGGCGGAGTTAAGAAGGTTAGGCTAGATAAACCCTTCCAAGCAGTGAGATGCTGTAAAAGAGTCTCCCACAGGCAGTAAGTGGTGGAAACCTCATGTCTTGCGACTTTTAAAATAGTCTGGGCAAAGCACTAGACCATGTTCTATTGGGAACAGTGCTTCATTGGCCCCTGGGAGATGGGCAGAATGATTAAATGGGTCTCTCATCGCCAATATCTATGACTATCAGGCACAATATTTGTTGGCAGTCCCCACTGCAAGGCACAATGCAGGGGGACTCTCCAACACTGAAGTTCTCAGCTTTTTTTCTTCTGGCCTCTCAAAGTTCAGCTGCCTGAACTCCACATATCAGAGTGGGGTGGAGGGAGAATCCTATTCACTTTGTCTCCCGCACTTTCATCTTCTGGAAGAGGGGAACTCCAGTGAAGGGACTTTCACTCTTCAGCTATCCCGGCTCATGCTGCTGGGAGGGATGGCGCCAATGTTTTCCCTCTCCTGTTTCTTGCTAGATGTGTTGGTGAAATGAATTCCCACCTGGCAGCTTCCCATGGATTTTACTCACAAACAAAAGAATTGATTAAGAATTCCTCAGCGCCTCTCAGGTGCTGAGCATGGCATAAGTCCATAGCTGCATATGCAGAGGTAGAGCTGTGGCTTCTGGGTAAGCAGCCATAAACTTTAGCTCAAAAACCACAGGCCTCTGACACTTGAGCTAAAGGGGAATCTTCTTTAGCTGTTAGCAGTAGAGCTTTTATCCTCTGTAGACATCTCACTCCAATGCCTCCCCAGAGTTGGGTAGGAATATCTATAGCAGTGTAAATGAAGAGTCACCCCATTGCAATCAATAGGAGTTTGCCTGAATAAGGACTTCAGCATTTGACCATATAGAATTAAATGTCTAGAGCCCAATTCTACTCTCATTCACACCAGTTTTACACTGACATAACGCTGTCGACTTCAACAGAAATACTCCTGATTTGCTCCTGTGCATGTGAAATTAGAATCATGCACTCAGTGACTCTCGGCGCGTTACATTTGCCAATACAGTGGGATCAAAAGAGACCAGACTTCAGCTGACAATTCAAAGCAGAGATGGAAGGACAGAGGAAGGGGTAAAACTTGCAGTGTCCCCCGCCCCTTGTACCAGGGCCTGGAGCATGGCTCTCAAACGGCAACAATTTTAGCAGGTGAAATTAAAAAAAAAATATTCAGATCTCATGCTGGTGTAAATCAGGAGTAGCTGCACTGACATCAGTGGGCCTGCTTCTGGTCTCACTCTGATTTTACATGTATACAACTGCACTAACTTCAGTGGAGTTACTCCAGTGAGATCAGAATCCGGCCCAATGCAGTCACGCCAGTGTGAGTGAAAAAGCAAGTCTTCTGTGTCTCACTGGAAACGCACAGTAAAATCCTCCAGCGCCAGGTTTAAAAACTGTCCCAATCGTGTGACTCTCCATCCAAAGGAGAGAGACTGGGCATGCCTGCCAGAACCCTGGAGGTTAAAGCTCTCCCCCATTTACAGAGGCAATGCATCATCTCCTAGAGCAAAGTATGTTCTCTCCAGTATTAATAGACTTACTGAGATGCGTCAAAAACCCCGGCAGAGACACTGAGCAGCACAGCCTGCCTGCCACAGAAAGATTTACAATCTCTCTGGCGTATCAGTGGAGAACAGGACAGTGTGTGTGCACGCACACAGACAAAGAAGGAGGAAGGTGAGTCCAACCCCCAGCAGCAGGGCCATCCTTCTGCTGCTGGATTTTTCCAGCCAAAGCATCTTACCGTCTCTCTGCTGCAATTTATGGAAATTGATTTCTGACGTGGGGCTTTTTCTGCTACAGCAGGGACCCACCGGGTGGAGGAGGCAGAGCTGCAGTCAGGGCAGGAGAAGGGAGGGAGGAAAGGAGCTGGGCACAGGGGGAAAGCCAGAGAGAGAGAGAGAGAAGGGTGCGTAGGTACTACAGCGATGGGGCAGTTATAACTGAGACAGATGAGAGAAGGAGCAAGGGAGAGCAGAGATCCCGAGTGAGTCATAGGAGGGCAGACAAGCCCAGAGAGCGCTCTGCCATCCCAAGACAGACCTGCCCAGCTGGACTCTTAACCATGAGCACGAGGGAGACCTGTGCCCAGGAAGTGGGGCCAGAGGATGGGGAGGAAAAGCAGAGCAAAGACGCTCAGGATCCGGACAGAAGGCCGCGCGAGGTGGAGCTGCAGGATAAAGCCATCCTGCAACAGAAGAGGCGCCTGAAACAGGCCACCCAGTTTGTGCACAAGGATTCTGCTGACCTGCTGCCCCTGGATGGCTTAAAGAGGTTGGGCACCTCCAAGGATCTGGTGAGTCAAGTGGGACCCAGTTTGGAACGGGATGCTCCTCTCCTCCTAGTGATACCAGGGCATCCCCCTAATTTGGGAAAAGAATCACAGGTCCAGGCACAACAAACAGCCCATCAGAGTCATTATAGGGCTGGGGTGGGTGAAGGGAAAGGAGATGTCCCCCACTCTCTGCATCTTTCTCCCCAGTCATCCTCATGAGGTCTAACTCCCTCCATAGCCAGGAGAAAGTAGAAGGTAGGGGATTCCCCCTAGCTCTCAGATCCAGCTCCCAGTCCACAGTACAAAAATACATGCAACTTGTATGGGGATTCTGTGTATGTTTTACATGTCTGTTTACATGCTGGACTGACGTGAACCACTACATTGACTCCTGCATGATCTAATATGGAAGTGGTCCTTCTCATATTCTGTAATAAACCCACCCACCAATCCCGAAACTTTGGGGTCTTGTGTTGAAACTTTTCGCTTTTCTGTGCAGTTCCCCAGTTTTGGATTTGCTTTGACACATTTCCCCAGGGGGTGAGGGGATGTGCCCCAGCAGTTTGGGGAGAAGTTGGAGACCAGGCATGATTTCCCCTGGGTATGTATAACAAGGACAGGGAATGATTTCCCCTGGGATACCCCCCTGATTAAGTACATCTTCCCCCTCCCATTGCACTCTGTCAGTTTTCCCCACTACCCACTGTTCTTCATAGTGTACCACAAGTTGATCCAGGATTTGGGTTGAAATCCTGTTTCCCGGTGGAGCGCATGGCTTTGCTTCCAGCCCCTTTCCCCTGCAAGCTCCAGGTTGTTTTGCCAAACTGATAAGGGCTCCTGGAGTCACTGACCAGACCCAAAGAAATCAAGGGCTCTGAGGTGATCTGATTGCTAGTGAGGTGGGGCAGCCCCTCGGCCTGGCAAGTACAGGGCACTGGGTCAACGCTCTCTGCTGCGGGGCATTTTCCTCTAAGTTTCCTGCTCTCTTTTTAGGCCTCACTGCTACTAGTGATAGTGCTGTCTTGCCTGGGAGCCGGGGCATTAGGGGAAATCCAGTTCCTAGGCGTTCCAGGCTGCACGGAAATGAATCTCACAGGTTAATATTGATTTCTGATTCTCTTGGGCTCAACCATCCCACCACATGCTGGCTGGGGATCAGCACCATGTCAGACTCAACTGTGTCTCTGCTTTGGGACCATCCCTCACCAGCTTCACACGCAGGCCGAGTCCATTGCGCAGCTCTCCCTAGAGCGCACATTCAGACCACATCAGCCTCGGTGTCCACTCTGCTACCGGCTCTGGTATGGGAAACCCCTCCCTGCTCACAAAACGCGGTCATCACCCATGTATGTAAGCAAGCCATCCCAGCCCTACAACTTGGTTACGAACACATGAAATTCCATTGCTGGGCATCAGCAGGCCTGGCTCTTTGAGCCCCCGGATTTGTGCTCTCCCAGCCCTGGCAAGTAGCTCACGGAGAGCCGGCTGCACAGGCAAGATGGGGACGGACCATCTCTGTCGCTGGGACGGAGGGAGTTACAGCTGAGAGTCGGTGACCCTTCAACAGGGGCATCTCCTGACAGCCCCAGCCCCCAGGGGAGCAGGCTAGAGGGACCATCACTGACTCTCCTTGAAACCTAGAGATCTCGGTCAGTATTTCAGGGAACTGCGCTGTAACAATCTTGGGGTTCATTAGATAATAAACCAAAGAATGAGAAGAGAATAAAACTTTAATAAAACACACCCAAAAGTGTGTCTCTAGTGAACTGCTGCAGAGTCTTGGGTTCCCAAGACCCCCCCCCCCCTCCAGGGCACATCTCCAGATTCCCACACAACACAGTCCCTTATGAGGGAGTGTCTCCATATCACAATCTGTCATAAACATCCCCTACATGCACCTGTATTTCCTATCCATGGTCCACTCTAGGAGTGCCTAGCATGTGCACCGACTTCCACCATTCCCAGTGGGCGCTCAACCCCACCCCTGCCCCCATTCCACCCCCTCCCCAAAGTCCGTACCCCCATTTCCACCCCCTTCCCCCAAGTCCCCGCCCCTATCCTGCCTCTTCTCCACCTCCTCCCCTGACCATGCCACGCCACATCCCTGCTCCTCCCCCATCCCTCCTGGAAAGTCCTAAGCACCACCAAACAGCTGTTTGGCGGCAGCACGTGCTGGGGAGATAGGCGGAGGAGTGGGGACAGTGCACTCAGGCGAGGAGGTGGAGGAGGAGATTGGATGTGGGGGAGGGGAGCTTGGGTGCCAGTGGGTACAGAGCACCCACTAATTTTTCCCCATGGACGCTCTAGCCCTAGAGTGCCCACAGAGTTGGCGCCTATGGTGCCCAGTCAGGTCTCCGGCCTCCAGCCATCACCTGTCTCTGACAGGGACCCTTGTCCCACTCCCTTCTGTCTGTGGGTATTAAGGCTGCACAGCCCCCTGCCTTACATTGATATCCCCAGCAAACCAGTCTGCCTACAGGCCAGCCCCTGTGCTATGCTTTCTCCCAGAGGGCTATGAACAGTGCAGTGCCAGCCATTACGAGTTACCACCCAGTTCTCTCAGCAGACTACATTTTAAGGACAAAAGTATCACAAAACAAAGACAATAAAAGTTCCTATGCACTTATAACAAACATGCCAGGGTCCCATCTTCCCATCATGCCAGGGTCCCATCTTCCTTATGGGACCCAACATCCCCTTCCAATCCTTCTGCAAGTGCTGGTTGCCCCTTTGGTCAGAGGGTCCTGTCCATTTGCTGAAGCAAAATGAAGGGCCTATGTTCATTCAAGCTCAGCTTTTTACATCAAAAACCTTTTCTTTGAGTCTCTGGAAAACTCATTTTGAACCAGTACATGACGACACCCTATGGAGTCGTGCTTCTCTGGAGCCATTTACAATCCTGGGGTAATCAGCCCACCCCACTGTTTTTAGTTCCTGGAGGAGCTGTGGCAACCCCCTCCCATGGAGCAGAACACAATCATTCAGAAAACAGTCATACATTTAATACAATGGTCCCCAAAGAGACTGCCTGGGGTTGCAATATCTGTCACACTCACCCCGCAGGGCAATGTACAAGCTCTAACTCTCTATGTGATACAGGGGGATCAGGTGACAGCCTAAGCTCAGGGAGCAATATCTAGTTATCACCTACCCCACCTTTTTCCTTATTGTTCCTATATTTCTACAGCCTCTAACTGAGGATGGGGAGAGTTCACTCTTGGCCTACTCAGGGCAGCTTCTTACCGAGTCAGCAGAGGGTAGAAACTATAGGGAAACATGTCTCACCTTCCCCCTGCACCATCCATCAGACCATATCCAAGACATGATTTATTGTGGTAGCATCCAGAGGGAGATCATCATGCAGCACAATGCAGCCTCGAATACACACATAGGAAGATACAGTCGCTGCTCTGAAGAACCTACAGCCTAAGGCAGTGGTTCTTAAACTTTTGTACTGGTGACCCCTTTCACATAGCAAGCCTCTGAGTACGACCCCCCTTATAAATTAAAACCACTTTTTTATATATTTAACACCATTAAAAATGCTGGAGGCAAAATGGGGTTGGGGGTGGAGGCGGAGGCTGAGGCTGACAGCTCTTGACCCCCCCATGTAATAACCTCCTGACCCCCAGTTTGAGAACCCCTGGCCTAATGTAGTTTCATGTTTAGGAACTTGTAGCACTGCCTAGCTATGGGACCCATTCTGACTGGTTGTGCATTGTAGAGTGGTTTGACTCCTTTTCATGGAGAGTTCACCAGACAAATGTAGGCCTTTTTTCTGCTTGAAAATTGTTCATGAACTGACCCTGATTGGTCACTTAAGTCACATGTTATTGTATCTGATCCACCATTGGCTGACTGAAATTTTTAAACAGGTGAATAGTGAGTAAATTATGACAAACTTTCAGACATGAAGGTTGGGATTTGTGATAAAATCATGAAACTTTTAGGATTTGTGACCATTCTCACAAACAAAAGCAGTTGTATGAATACTTGAACAATGAACACTATGACCCCACCAGTAACTGCCGTGGTGAACTCACTGTTTGTGTGAAAATATTTGTGAATCTCTTCCTGTACTAGTCAGCCAGCTCTAGGGCCTGATTCTCCACTCACTCTGGTTTTACACTGGTGTGACTGCACTAACTTCAGTAGAGGCACTCCTGATTTATACTGGGGCGAGAGGAAAAGCAGACCTTAGATCTTCTGGAGTGACATGAAACATACAGCAGCCCTGGGTACTTCATGTGCCTGTGGGAAGATGTATTTTTGGCTGCAAATCATCACCCACTGTGAACTCTGTAGATCATGGTACCACAGGCAGAGAAATGATAATATAATACCTAGTTCATATATAGCTTTTTTAATCTCAAAGCGCTTTACAAAGGAGGTCAGCATCATTAGCCCCATTTTACAGATGAGGAAACCGAGGCACGGAGCTGTGACTTGCCCGAGGGCACACAGCCGGCCAATGGCCAAGCTGGGAATGGAGTCAGGCGACCTGGGTTCTGAGCCTGCGGGGTCTATCCACATGTGTAACACCATAGCCCCATGTGTAACACTGACAGACTCTGGTCGTCGTCGGGCGGGATTGAACCTGGGCCCTCTGGAGCTCAGTGCAGGAGCCTCTACTGCATGAGATAAAAGCCATATGGCCCTTAGCTAAGGCTGTAGAGCAGACTCATTACTCTCTCTTTATAAGTGGTCTTGGTGCCACTAGATGGGACAGAACACCACACCCAGCAGGTGTGTGGGTTACACATGCACCTCTGTCTCATTCCTGATCTGCTTTCTGACTCTCTTCTGGATCATGGGAGGTGAATAAGTGCCATGGGGCAGATTCTCCCCTGCAGAGTTTGAGAGATCTTGATGTCACAGAAGTTCAGAGTGGGGTGTTACTTTGCCAGCACCCCAAAATACTCCTCCCCACAGACACCTCAAGTACCAGGGATCAGTATATCCTAAATGAATCCAATAGTACCATAGAATCCATGCTTGAATAATAAGAGTATAGCAGTAGG